TTTAATAAGTGTGAACAATTTTTCGACGGTATGTTTCTGTTAGGGGCGTTTCAATACTGTGAGCTCAATTCAAAATGGGTCCTCCTCCCCATTTATTTGGGGTGGAGGCAGAAATATTAGGAGACACATTTAAATGAACAACTAAAAACCTGTATGGCTGTGAGAGGTCAGTGAGAAACACTTTTTTTTTTTATTCTAGTGAAGAAAACCTTTAATGATCCCTGCTTACACTTTGTAACTTTGTATCCCACTGTTTCACTTTCCTTCACACAGCTGAACTTTGAGACACAAAGTGCACCACCCAACAGATAAGTCTATCTGCAGGGATATCTGCATTAAAAGCCCTTTCAGCTCCAGTGTCACACAGTCCTTGACCATTATCTTTGCAGCTCTATTTTTAAAACAGCAACCAGGTCAAGGAGAACAGAGAGCATTTATAACAGCGTGCAGGTGTCTAAAGAAGCCGGCACCACAACAGGTGAGTGTGAGGATAACTGCAATCTGTGTTATCAGTTTTATTGTGAATTACACAACAGGATCCGCCACACAAAGTGGACTCAATAAGCTCTTGGGAAGAAAAACCTTGCAAGTCTCCCGCTCATATTCTAAACCTATTAATAATTTCAATATTGTGTCCTACATCCTACACCCAGAAGGTAAACATGTCGCCACAATAAAGACTAAATTGTGTGCCTTTCTTCAAATAATGCAGGCAGGGATTAGCTCTAATCTCAGAAAAATGTAAATCAAAAGAGCTTAAGTTTCCATAAATCAAAAGCTATTTAAAGTAACATGAGATCAGCATAAACTAAACACTGTGACGATGAGCCTGCACCTGTCTGAAGTCTGTGGAATGGGAAGAAAGATAAAAGTGTTGTTACCTTTAGTGGAGGGAGAAATCCTGGTTTTGTAATCCGATAAAATAAAAAAGTGTTGCTCAGGAAGTCATCCACTGGAAGAGAGGTAAAAAGTCAGTCTCTCTTGTGCCCGTTTCTCACTCTCTCTGGATCTGCTCTGTCAGACCCCGTCTTCTCTATATACAGGCAGTAATAGAGGCTAACCACTCCCCCCCGACCCCCCTTCACTCAGGCCTGTCCCCTGCTTCAGTGCCTCCTCCTCAAAGCGGTTCTCTCTCTCCCTCTCTTTCTCTCTCACACTTCTTTCCCTTTGCTATCTCTCCATGCCTTTCCCTCCTTATCACACTGGAACCTGTAATCTGAAAGTAAAAAGGTTCACACTCATCTTTCTCCACTCTTCTTTCCACTGTCACTTTCACCAACAGCAGCGGTTTCCCCTTCACTATGAGTGGCTTTACCCAGCAGGGTCAAATCTACAAGTAGTCCCTCTGTGGTAGACTCAGTGTGGGCGCTGCTGACCTCCTGTTCCCCATCTAGTGGTCATGGGTTGCATATTTTCACCTAAGGCTGCCAAGAAATTGTGGCATGGGCTCTGGAAAGGCCTCCCAGCTTCTAGGAACGTACAAACCAGCCTCAGGAGGTGAGGTTTTGGCAGGTGTTTTAGGACCTCTGAAAGGTCCTAAAACGCCTTTCAGAGGTCCTCTGAAAGTACGAAATGTTGCAGATGTTTTCTTTCTGCCTGATCCATGTGGCTTGAATCTGTTTACATCACTAACCTCTATTTCGTAACATTTACTACTTTCCAACCACAAATCATTAGGGAGGGTTTTTATTTTCTTTTTTGTTAAATGTATTTATCACATTAAGTCAGTGAACTTTAAGGCTTTTTTATTTATTTAGCATTCATGAATTTTGAAATCCAGTCTGCTGAACGAATGCAGCTCTTATATCTGATGCCAATTTAAGACATTATAAACAAACAGCAATGTGCACCATTATTGCTTTAATTGTGTATGACTTGTTTTGGTCTTTTTCTGCAAATGAGTGCTTAACCGGTCATTAGGAGACTGACATGGTGGTCCGTAAAGACACAGCTGTGCCTTAGACCCCCCTTTGGGTTGATCAATAAGCTAGAGGCTGAATCAATAATTGTGAGGCAGTGTAGGTTGGGTGAGCAGGGCTCCCCAAAAAGCCTTTTAGGACAAAAGAGAACATTTCCTACACAAAGGTTTTTAAAATGTCAGCACATTTAACATTCTTAGCATAATAAGCACTTGTAGAACATTTACAGAAAATGGGCAGTGTCCTCTTCTCACAGGTCAGCCGTTCCCTAATGGTCAGAATCAGACAAAAAAGTGACCCAATGGTTTCCCACGAAAGCCTGAATAACTTGGATTGACTGACTATAACACAAACTATATCAGATGGGAAACCTTTAGAGTAAAGAAATACTTATTCCATATTAGATGCAGCGTTTTTGAAATATGAAGAATAGCCCGGTAATACAATTTCTATTTAGCCTTCGTCTTCTGTATTGACCGATCTTATTTAAAAAAATTAATCGCTAGCAAGGCTCATGGTATTGGCCAATACAGAGTACTGATCTTATACTAGTATGTTCGCCTCCTTGTGTGGAAGTAAATAGGATGTTTATTTTATGTCAGGATTGATTTAAACATTGGTTTTCTAACTTTGTAAGAATATAATGCAAAAAAGCTCAAACAAAGATGTAAATCTATTGAATTAATGGTGTTTGATATCAGATTGGCCCATTGTAACAATACCTGATTCAGCTATTTGAGTCAGTATAGAGTGGCGAAGTCACGCCCATCTACTTCTTCTGGTCCATGGGACCTTATTTCGGAAAAATTATGTATTGAAGTCAATGGAGAGAGAAAACTTATTTTTCGATCCCGTTTAAATTGTGCCACGAATTACACATATGGGGCCGTATTCACAAAGGATCTTAGGGCTAAAAGTAGCTCCTAACTGGCGAATTTAGGAGAAACTCCTAAACATAATGGGCGTGTCAGTCTTAAATTTAGGACTCCTAATTGTATTCACTAAGAGCAATTCACAAAGTATTTTAGGCCTAAAAGTAGCACCTAAGTTTAGGAGAGCTTAAAAGTCCTCGAGAGGACTCCTAACTCAGTAAGACCTATTCACAAAGAATCTGAAAATGGCTGCGAGACGAAATGTTTTGGAGACAATGGAAGACTGTGAATTCTTTGTGAATAGGTCTTACTGAGTTAGGAGTCCTCTCGAGGACTTTTNGTATGCAGTGTTCTTTATATTGTAGTCATTGTGGGGACTTCATTGTGTGCATTCCTGTATGTTGTTCATGTGTGATTGTTTATAATAGTTAACTACTTTACAGAATAGCGTGTCACTTCAGTCACCATGCCGTTGCGGCCTTTGGCCAATAGAGGGCAGCGTGGGCCGGCTAATTGTGCCATTTCTTTGTTTTTATTTTAAATCGTATAATATCGGACTTTTTTTGCATCTGTGAGTAAAATAAATGGGGCTCAGAGCCTCAGAATACTGAAATCTGTATATATTTTTTTCCTTCTAATTTGTTATTATTTGTGACCCGCTCTATCGAAATCAGTCAAAAGTCGCAACGGCTCATTTAAAAAATAAACTTGGATTTGTGTAAAAAAAACTAGTTTTTCAGGATTCGGGTGTTTTGTTTGATTTTAAATAAACAAAGTCTTGGCTTGCAGAATAGGAAACTGTTAT